TATTACGCACTTTTCCTCAACAATTTTCTGCTACCATGTCTGTCCACAATCATCTCTCTACATTTATTTATTTTCAGCTGCGCATAGTGATTTCTGCCGCCTATTTCGTTCAACGAAAATAATTATGTAATGCATAGCATTTACATAATTTTGATTCTTATGATATTTTATTCACGTTTTCTTAAGGCAACATGCTAATTTTTACTTGTCAATAATTTTAGAATTATACTAAACTTGCAACTTAATTTTTAAACTAACAGGTCTTGTCGTAATTGCTAAGCTTAAAATTATTTCAGGTACTAAACTGAGAACTGGATACCAGTATCAGACTGCAAATTATTTTTAATTTTATGAGTTTTGAGCAATTTCTTTTCATTTTTTTTATTCTTTGAGCTGTCACACAACAATCAGAAGTTTTCAAGCTGCACTTATTTTTTCATTTATTTATTTACTTATTTTTTAACAATTCAATTTTTCAGTTTTACATATATTTCTAACACATTTCCTTTCACATTTTTTCACAATGTTTTACATCCTTTTTTCTCATACGTTTAGTTAAAAAAGAAGAGGCCTTTAATTTGTACTTTAAATGAAGAAGTTAAAAAGTTGTTAAAGAAAACTAACAGAAGTGTTTGAAGAACCAAACAACATTTCATTCTATATTTTCTAACATTATTTACACCTAGAATTTATTATTACAAATGTAAATATTTACATTTGTTTTTCTAACATTTTTAACTTCTATAATTTTGATATTATATGTATATGAGTGTGTATAAACATTTTAATATATTTTTTGTGTTGACTAGATATCAGTTATTTTCTTAATCTTTCAATTTGGCTTGTCTTGAAAATTTTCAATATTTTCTTAAAAAGTCTACTAGTCAAAATTCATCTGGCATAAAGTAAACATTCTTCACCACCATTTACAAAAATACAGTTATTCAATCAAATTAAGACTAGAAGTATTAAATTTATCATTTCGCTATATGAAAGATAAACAGACTAATCATCCATATATATTGTTCCGCCGTGAGGTATATTAGTTCAGGGTTTAATTATTCCGACAGAAAAATCTTAAGTTTCACCACAGGAAGTCAATACGAAAATTATGTCTCTCTTACCTGAGGCTAAAGAAAAGATGTAAGAGAAGCGAAAATTAATTAAAACTGCATTAACGGCTTTAAAACTCACCACCAGGATGAATAAATATAAGAAAGGGGTTATCTGTTAAAAACCAAGCTGTTAGTGCCGATAGAGTTAAAATTAAAAAAGCGCACTAAAATAATTTTTTCCAGTCAGACACAAATGGAAGAAATCGATCTGCTTGCTTTTCTGTGAAGTGAGATGAAATAATATAAAAAATTCTTAGCCAAATCCTCGATTAACTTTTAAAAAATGGTGACGTAAAATAGAAAGAAAAGTGCTATCACGTTTACGAATTTCCAAATGAAACGGTATATTTAATTAATTTATTTTCTAAAATCCTGCGTATTTTTCCCGCCTTTTACACCTCTCTCTAAGGCAGCTTACGTGAACAACCAATCATGAAAAGAGGATTATGAAGGGTTGGAAGATATAAGATTAAAATGCAAAAAAATAGCATGAAATCCTTAATGAAATGAAGACAATATTTGGGAGGCTCATTAAAAAGCAACAGAACGTCTATATTGGTATTGACATAAAAAATAATTTCTAAAAAGAAAAAAATATATCAAAATAGTTAAGTTTAAATATACTTTGCTTTCTTAAGAGCGAATTTTTCTCTCTGGATTCTACAAAGATAAAAAAAAAAAAAAAAAAAAAAAAAAAAAAAAAAAAAAAAAATCTACGAGAAATAAGCGTATTAAAAGTGATCAATAAGTGCAAAGTTAATATATCCGAAACTAGGAAAAATATTATTGTAAAATAAGTTAAGTTCCATAGCGACTTTAAAGTTTGCATGTCTATGGAATTGTATAAAATTTACTAAAGTATTCTGCATCATTTTCTAATGTGTTTCCTTACACTAGATGTATAACTGCTTGTTTTAATATGTCCAGCGTCTGCCTTTTAGACATCACTTCGTGATCAAGTACTACAAATCACTACAAATCAAAATTTGTATTTAGTACTACAAGTCAAGTACTACAAATCACTACAAATCAAAATTGTATTACAAATCAAAATTTTGATTTCTAGTACAGTAACTTAACAGACCCTGTTCTTTCTAATTAAATCTTTGCGAGTACACACAAGTAATAGCTAACTTCACAATGACTCTAATCGCTGTCTTTAGATTTTATGATGGCTCAAGGTGATTCTCATTCAGTAAGTTTGAATCTGTTCTAGATTAACAACATGGGACAGTGTGTGCATGCAAAAAACTGGTATTCATAATAAGTTGATCTTTCTTGCAAAATTCGCAGGCGAGTTTTAACACTATGCCACCGTAAACTATCATTAGCTGTCGATGTTCAGGCAAAAATTAATTTTGAAACAGAAGATGAAATAAAAAAATATCTGAGGCAACGTTTTTAAATAAATATAAAATTCCAAACAGTCATGTTAAAATTTAAATAACAAATGGGAATAATAACTATTCAGTTTTAGATAAATAATAATCGTTACTTTAGTTTAAATGAAGCTTTTACTTTAAAATGAATGTTTTTAATTCCTGAAAATGAACAGATTTGTATTTAACTGAGCAACTTCTTTTTAATATGTCATAATAATAATAATATTTGCTTGATTTATTTTTAAAAGGTCTGACAATATTATACTTTCTTTCATTCATAAAAATTGTTTTGCATTTCCAATGATTGAACAATTTTAAAACTAGATTTCTAAGTATCTATAATTGTACCTGTAAGTGTGTAGTTTTAAGTTCTTATATCTAAAAATAAGACATTTATTTTCAGTCGAATGACTATAGAATTTAAACTAACCGTAGTTTCTTAATTTATATATACATATTTTCAGACTGAAACCTTTGTAGGAAAATGGAGAGAGATTAATTACTTAACACTGGTTTTCTTTTTTATTCAAAAATATTATGTTTATGATTCTCACCTCATTTCCTATGTCTTTTCCTATGCCGATTAGTGTCACACGTACATGAATAAGTAAAATTAAGGCTATTAGAACAATAGAAAAAACTTTCAAAACTTTTCTTATTTAAAATATAATCAGAATTCGAAATTTAATCATGCTTATTTCGTAAGTTACGCATCAAAGGTTTAAAGAATATCTCTAATCAAGTTTCTGTTGCTTAAGAGTGATAAATTTCTGATGGCAATGTTTTGTTATCAATCAAAATCATTAAATTGCATCCTTTTCAGTATTAAACATTCCAGTTATCGAAAAGAAAAGTTTTATTAATATTATTGAACATTATTTTAAAGCTTTTAAACAAAGCTGCGAACACTGACATAAAATACGCCTGAGGATGTAAAATTTATCTTTGATATCTTTGCTACCAAAGTTACTATACTATAAGGTTTGCTCTTGCATGACGCCTTTGAGTCCTAGTGGACTCAAAAGCAACTTCTCCCTGCTCCGTTTATGTCTTCGTTTCTGCCATTTCTGTAAGTAAGTCACATCAGCGTTGGGAAGAGCCTCCTAATCTTCTTGTTCGTACTGACTTCGTTTGCAACGAAGCCATAGACGAAGCAGCATGACTGACACTCTTTGGTTAAGTTTTATTATTTGAAAACTTTGCTATATTAAAATATTTATACACTCGGCTGGATATTGATAACATTTCACAGTTGGAAAATGATCGATTAGTTTGATCAATGAAAAGAAGTGATTAATTCTAATTCAATCGTCGTTTAAATAAAACAACGATTATCGCTTATTGTTTACATTCTTTCAGTGAATGATGATACTTTATTATCTTTTTATTATTTTACTAGCTTTATCGAGTTAAGCTGGAAAACTGCATCTTTAACACTTAAAATATAAAATCGTGGGTTGTTTCTTCTTGTTATTAACAAATCCCCTAAAAACTCAATAAAGTATTCTCATTATTTGCGAAGCTTGATATGATTGAAAGGATAACCCGTTGCATCTTATATTTTTACTGACGATTTAGAATGCATTTTAGCACAAATGGGTTTTAAATTAGGTAACTTTAAAACAGTACGTCATTTTAACTACACATTGCGTGCAATAAATAATTTATAATAAATACATCAGAGAAGTAGGCCACAGAAAATATGTCTATATGCTTAATGCATATATGCTTTGCAAATAACAGCCATTTGTAAAAAAAAACGCCCTAAAAAGCAGCGATTTAAGGAGGACGACTACCAGACCTTTTTTTTTCATTTAAGCAACGTTCTATATGTGACAAGAAAAACGAAACGTTAAATTGCCACTGTTTGTTTCATGGTACCTGCCTTCTTCTTAGGGGCTGAGTAAATTGGTAATTTATAAAGTGGTTACTTTTATCTCGTGTTTACACGTCTCATGATTTTCACATCTCAGGAATGTTCAAAACATCCGCCCGGACATAACGTTCAATATTCTCACCAAATTTCCGAATTAAATACAACGTTGGCATTTTGCTTAGATTAGGTACTTTACTTTTACTAAATTGTCAACATTCAGTCAGTCTACAAATAACAATGATATTATTATTTGTTTGAAAGCCACAATTCAAACGAAAGGTTTTCTATTAATATAACCTTTTGTCACTAAGAAATATGTCGTAAAAATCAATGATTTTAAAATGCTCATTTTTTACACTGATAACCTTCTACTTTGTAATTAGTTATAAGAAAAAAGACAGATCTTACACGGAATATTAAGAACAAAATTCTACGGCTGGAATTTCTTCATAAAACGGAAATGACATCTGTATAAAGCGTAATTATGTAAAAAGAATCAAATTCATGTTGAACCAGGTAAAAACTGTTTTTCGTTTATAAACTATAAAGTTTTAAAAAAATCTTTGAATTTCATAAACAAATGAAACATTGCTATAAATAACATATTTATCAAAGTATGATACTTACAGGGTAAAACATCGGTATATCGGTTCTTCTTGATGTTAACTGGCAGTGTTGCTGCCGCGGTAGAACATAGTTCAGCTTCGTATGCACAAAGAGCTTCCCATTCTCGGTTCAAGCGATCTTTGTTCTTTAGGTGGTCTTCCATATAGGACTACAAATAAATAAATAAATAAATAAATAAAAATAAAAATAGAAACTAAATCTTAACCTTGCCTCTATCGAAAATAATCTGAAAGTTACAGATTTTAACGATCGTCCAAAAAGGTTTGTTAAGATTTTTTATGCTCTCGCTGAGCTCACAATCTACCTGTCTGCAGGTACACTAAATGTTGGCACTAAACGTCTTCCCCCCTGGTATTTTCTCAGTTCGTCATATCAATGCTCAGGTTTCTTACTAAGATGGTTTTACAAAGCTTTTGGGGGCTTTTTATTATTAAGGTTTCGTATGTTTCCTTTATTTATTAAATATCACTTTCTGGCGATTATGTAACCAAAAATTCGACTCAACAGTAAAATTATAAAATATTAAAAGCATATCGTTAAAATTTCCCATAGACAGTCTCGCGCGGTTGAGATAAAAATGCATTTTCCCGCAGTGTAGCCACGACTCGTTTTGTAATCGTTGAGTTAATTGTGAAAAATTCGTTAAATTTCACAAAATATGAAATAACAAATAAAACAAATTTGAAATTTAAAATTCAGTCTTCCGGGTGTCCAGGTTCGGGTGGAGAACTACGTTATTCAAAATTAGATGGTTGTAGGTGCCGTTGTTTTTTCACAGTGTAAGAAATATGCATGCATTTATACAGATTCTTTATTTAATTTCTTTAAATATAATACAGGGTGATAATATTTGGTGGCAGCATGTTCAAAAGTGATACGCCGTTTAAGTCGTTTCCAGACTATTTTCCCATTCGGGACTAACGTCCCTTTTGGACTAAAGATGAAAAATTTAGGAAAAAACTTGTAAACTTTCTTAGTTACTACAAATATTTCTATTAGAAAGCGGATTATTTAAAACAGCAGTTTACTACTTTAAATTTTCATTATATATTTATTTGTATTGTGTGTATTTAAGAAAAACTAAATGGAGAAAGTGAAATTATGCAAGCTTAAATTTGGGCAAAAGATAGGCATCGGTTGCTCATTTTTTTCCCTCAAAAGAAGTTAAAAATTAATTAAAAAATGTCTAGAGTTAATTACTAATTTAATCTGGAAATAGATTTTCGGAAATGGCATAATAATATTCAAACCAAATACTTGGATATGTAAATTTATAGCTATATTTACCTGCATATTTATTTGCATTTATACGTACATACATAAATACATAGAGTCATACATATAAAGAAAAAAATTGAAAAGTAAAACGTAGTTCAAAATCTAATTTAAGTGCGCGATGAAAGCAGCAATATGTGGTAATCCAAAATAAATTTTAAAATATAACATTTAAAACTCATTCCCTTGTCATTTCGGAATATACATACGTAAAAACTAAATACCAAAAGCACAGCAGCAAACTGCAAGAAAAAGAAGGGAAACATACCAAAACCGTTACTGAACCAGCAAAGACACAAATTAAAGTTTAAAACTTAAAATAATCTCACAGACACAATCCAAGTAGTCCGCATCTTTATCAGTCCAACCTCTACAGGCCGCAGTGCGAACAATTGCAAAGTTATAATATCGAATAACATAAACTAATTTTAAAAACATAAAAATATTATATTGAACAGACTAATGCCAAGAAACAAAACCTGCAAATAAATGCAATCAAACACATACAGAAACAAAAAAAAAAAAAAAAAAAACTTATGTAAATTTTGAAACGCCAATAAATCGGATTAAACACTTTTTTACTTCCTTATATGAAGCAAAAAGGAAGTATTGTAATCGCGAAAAATTTCAGGTATCTCCTATTTCAACAAAAATAATATATTTTGACCGCTATCGAATGCAATTTAACGATGATTTTGTGTAACATCTGTATGTATGGACAAAACAAAGGACTCTTTTTTTTTCCTTTTTTAATTTATTATTTTTCTTTTTTCAAAATAATAAAACTGATTTAAAATGGATTCAGAAGAGATTTTTTCGTGGCGCTTGTACGTACGTATGTTATGTAGAGAAATTATCTGATAGCGTTATAAAAATTAGGTGAATGATTTTATGATTTATGGAAATCTTAATTTTTATTTGATTATGAATTATTTATTTTAAGGCTTTAATTTTGGGGAAAAACAGATGCTTCTGGAAATATTATTTAGTTTAAATGAATATTATTTATTTTCTTTTATTTGCAAATCTTGTACAAACTTTTATTCATTGTGAAAGAAGCAGGGAAAGGGAGGCAATTTTCGCCAAGTCATGATTTCGCGCGCTTTGTCCTTTAGAATGTTCGAGAAAGAATTTTCATTGTTAGTTGACCTTAAGAGAGGAAAGTACGTGACGGAAAGGTCAAAGGTTGCTACTTGTCTTTCAATGTAAGTCATTCAGGTTTTTGGCGATTGAGGGTCCGGTGTTGTTGGCTAAGTGAAGAAGGGCGCGCATGCGCGATCACCCTTATTTCCGCATTCTGGAGTTGAAAACGAAGATTTCGCCATAATTAAGCGGGCGATAAGTGAAGCCATAGTGGGAGCCCGTTTTGTGAAGGAGACGAAGGAAATTCGAGTTGGATTTACACTTACTCTTGACTCACTCTTGGACTCGCTGATTTTCGGGCCGGCTGGACTAGTGGACGTTGCTCTTGAAATCTGGCTTGAAGGAAATTCGAGTTGGATTCTCTCTCTTACTGACTGGCGGGTGGAACTTACTTGGGACGTTACTCGTGAAGCTTGCTCTTGGGATGAGTAAGAACAGGCGAGCCGTAATTGCCTAGAAACAAACGTTTCTGACCTGAAGCTGAAAACCCTCTTCCTTGCGGCGTGCTGGTAAAGAGGCGAAATTTGAACGAGTTACCTGCGTGTTGACATAGGACTTTCAGGACCAAGCGGATAGCCGTCCTGGGCAGCAGTGCTCCTGTTTCTGTTCTACAGTGGTGAAGTGGAGTCTACATTTTTAGAAACCAGTGTCAAGATGAGCCCGGCCGACATCAACGCTTGATAAGATAAGAGTCCTCCCACTTCAAGATGTCCCTCAAGATAAGTTATTTTTTTTTTGTTTGTTTAAATCCTCTCACGGCAAACAAATTTAACACTTGGTGCCGTGACCTCTGCTTAGTGGGGATCGATCGGATCGAGAATTGAATTTGGATTTTGAATTTACCTATTTTGTGTAATTTACTTTTTAAGGAAGGAGTTAAATTTTATGTGCTAGGATTAATTAGAGTTTTTGATTTGTGTTTGCTTATTTGTTAATACGAGAGTGATAAAGTTTGAAAATGTGTGTGAATTTCAGGAATTTTGGACTTTAACGTTAGGCAAACAGAATTGAACTTTAAAATTAGGAAAAATATATATTTTAATGTAGCAGAATAGGTACTGTACATTTTTACTGTTGAAAATCCTTGAGTGTTTTCTGGATGTATATTTTTGATTTCTGATTTATGATACAAGATGGAAAATGAATTATTTCACGATAATCCTATGCTATTTGTGTATCCTTGTATAAAAGTTTCGAGTGCTTGTCGGTTAAAAACTGGACTCATTTTTGAGCACTTCTAAGAGAAAGAGACTTAAAGACTCTAATTATTTTACTGAATGAGACAAGCCATAGCTATGCGTAGCTAGAAATTTTTTTATGTTTTTGCTAATTATTTAACCTAGAATCTTGTGAAATGTGTAATTGTGAGGGGTAACGTTAGAGAAATTTTGATTTTTTTTTGACTTAATTGAATAATATTTTGTGAAATGTATGTAATGTTTTCATGATTATCTAGCGTAGTATATTATTACTTTTTGATTTACAATGTTTTGATATGATTCCAGTATATTGTGTAATGTGTTAGAAAATTTAATTTAGTATTGAGCAATGAATTTTATAAGTTCTTAAGGCATAATGATACAAATGAATGAGTTAAAAAAAAATTGAAGATTGTTTTTCAATTGCAAAATTCTGTTTTAAAGTGAACATGGGTTAGATTTGAATTTTTGCCTGAGATCAGCAATAGTGATGTTTGCATATTTTTATTTATTTTTTTTGGATTGAATTCTTCAGCTTGAGTGAAGTTCTAATTAGTTTAATAATGAGTCAGAGTAATTGAGATTAGTTATCTTCTGAGTTTTAAGTTTGTGAAGAGTTGTCATGTGAGAATTGTTTAAACAGTAGAAATTGAGTTAGTCTTGTGAATTGTAGAAAGTGAATTTTAATGAGAATTTTGTGTGACAACGGGAATTTGTTTTGTGAAAATTTTTGAAATAAGTTTGAGAAGATTAGTTACTTTTGCTCTGTACTCATGTGTGGGAATTTTCTGTTGATTACAAGTAGTTTGTGTCTTGAATTTGCTAGTGAATCGTAATAGATTTGATTTGAGTTATTGAATTTTCTTTCTTGGTTGGACTTGTTGCTGAATTTGGGGTTAATTCTTGTTTTGGCTTAAGTTTTGTATTTGAATTGTTAGTATCAAGATAGTTGTATCAAGTTTTTGTTTTGTTTTCTGGTGGTTTCTGCCAAGGTCCGTAAAATGTAAGTTCTCTGATGTTTAGTTTCTGTGGAAGAATTGAGATTTCTGTGGTCATAGGAAAATAGTAGAATTTGAGTTATGGATTTCATTTGTGTGATTTTTAGGGATTTTTGAGTTACGAGTTATGAGTATTTTTTTTTTTTTTTTTAGTTTAGCACTTTTGAGAACTTTGCATTTGTTGCTTGCAGTTAGGTCTTGCGTGAAGTTGTAATGTCCTGAAAGCTCGTTTTCTTGTAAATACTTGCACTTCATGGTGGCACTTGACCTCTTACACCGGGAGCAAACAGGAACTTGTTATCTGAGAAAACTATTGTTGTATCTTTTTCATTGTGTTGGTTCAGGATTGTAACGTTTCAGTCAGCGCACTTTTCTTTCCGAGATAAGAGATCTTATGTTCTCTTTCAACGTGTCTGGAGGGAGGTTTGCTTGATACGTAAAGTTTGAGTCTGTCATTTATAATACAGCGCTTTTCTCAGCTTACATGGACGCGGTAAAGAGTTACTTTGTTTCTTTTGTTTGGGTGGAGGTGT